AGGGGGGGAACCCAGTTGGCTTGGGACATTGCGATTTCATATTTAGGATGGACATGTGGTCAGAATCATATGTGACTTACATACCCGAAAGGGGGACCGATAACGCCGGGGGGGGGTAGATCCTGTTCTGTTTTTAGAAAGGAATCTGTTTTGCGCAAGTTGGGCGGCGACGGGGCGGCCACGAGGCGGCGACGGCGAGCACGGAGCCCCCAGACCGCCAGCCAGGCTCAGACGACGACGCGGCGACGAGGCGGCGACGGGGCGGCGACGGGGCGGCAACGGCGACCGCCAGACCGCCATCGTCCGCCAGGCGGCCAGCGAGGCCCAGACGACGGGCGGCGACGAGGCGGCGACCGGGCGGCGACGGCGAGCACGCAACCGCCAGACCGCCAGCCAGGCCCAGTTCTTTAGAAAAGAAGTGATCTCCCCCAAGTGCAAGGACTGTTCCGAGAACTTGGCGCGAGGAAGTCCGAGGACGTCGCCCTCAGGGGCGATTTGCCCCTCCCCAGTTCTTGCCCCACTCCACCTCCTCGGCGGCGCGACGAGGGGGAAGGGAAATGGGGCGGGGCTCCTCGGAAGGCAGCGGGGCTTCCCAGAAGCTCTAGCGCCCTCCGAGACGCCTGCGGTGGCCTCAGAGCGGACTTCGCCGCAGCAGGAGCGAGGGCTTCCGAGAGGCCCCGCCGCCTTCCGAGAGAAGGCCCGCCCCCCCTCTCGCTGACCAGCCCTGGGCGCGCCGCCGAAGCCGAACTCTCTTCCTTGGCACCGCCTGGACGTGTGCGTTCTTCTCTCGGCGAGGAGGAGGAGGAGGAGGAGGAGGAGGAGGAGGAGGAGGAGGAGGAGGAGGAGGAGGAGGAGGAGGAGGAGGAGGAGGAGGAGGAGGAGGAGGGGAGGAGGGAGGAGGAGGAGGAGGAGGAGGAGGAGGAGGAGGAGGAGGAGAGGAGGAGGAGGAGGAGGAGGAGGAGGAGGAGGAGGAAGGCCATCCTGGATCATCCTGCAAAAGAAGCTCGCGCGAGGCCGAAAGTTCACGTCCGAGCGATGGCAAGTCTTGCGCCGCGCAGCAGGGGTCGGCCCCCCCCCCCCCCACATTCTTCGAGGAGCGCCCCGCCGCGCAGGCAGTGTCTCTTCGCGACGCCGGAATGGTCTTGGGGAACCCTGCTGGCTTGGCAGGACACACGCCCCTGGCGCGCTCCGCGCGCCAGGAACGGGTGCCCATTGCAGCGCCGATGCAACAATTCCGCGCGGACCTCCGAGAAATTATGTTTATGCCGTTATTTGCTCTTCGAGAGTAGGAGGAGGACTGTTGCTCGAGGGCGTCTCTGGTCCCTGTCGGACTTCCAAAGGATTCCGAGGACAGGAAGGGTAGGAGGATCCAAATACTAGCCGGCCGCTCTGCGGTTGATCGGGAATTTCTGTATATAGAAGAAGGGACGTGCGCTTCTCTGCGAATCGAGATGAAAACGAGCGTGAGGATCAGGAGGGCGAGGCTCGCGAGGGGGAGGCTCAGGTGAGTGAGGGTCACGCGGGTGAGGATCAGGCGAGCGTGGAGCAGGAGGGTGAGGATGTGGAGAAGGAGGGCCAGGAGAGCGAGGATGACGATAATGAAAATCAGGAGGGTGAGGATCGGGCGGGCGTGGCGCCCCCCGCTGCCATGCTGGCATCCTCCTCCTCCTCCTCACCCTCCTCCTCCTCCTCCTCCTCCTCCTCCTCCTCCTCCTCCTCCTCCTCTTCCTTCTCTGCGTCCTCCAACGCCCCTTGTCCTTCTCCACCTCGTCCTTCTCCTCCCTCTCCTCCTTTTCCTCCTGGTCCCCCTTCCTCCTCTCCCCCGGAAATTTCCCGGATCTCGCCTAAAACGGAACAGGGGGGCCACTGAGGGCCTCCTTGGGGAGGCTCAGGGACCGGCTTTTCTGAGGAGCTCCCACGCGAGGGCGCCCGTTTGGAGTTCGTCGCCGCATTTTCCAGACCTCGCCCGAAACGGAACAGGGGGGCCTCTGAGGGCCTCCTTTGGGAGGCCCCGGGGACGGTTTTTCGGAGGATGTCGAACAGGGGGGCCTGTGAGGCCTTCTTGGGGAGGCTCCGGGGGCGGTTTCTCGGAGGATGTCCCGCACGCGAGGGCGCCGGATCGCGATTCTCCCTTGCGCGCCTGGCGCGCCCGGTGCAGCGCCGGCAGTGGGTCTTGGCGGCGCGCGTCGGGAGGCGGCGTTCTCGCGCGGGTTCCGCAGATGACGGGGTCAAGATGACGTGGGTTCGTCGGGGTCAAGATGACGTGGGTTCCGCAGAACGGTATTCAAATCTCACATACTGCAATAAATAACTGCATAAGCATAATTCAGAGCCCCGAATCATCAGGGGTAACTCGGGTCAGGGCTAGCTCGGGTTCGCTTTTCGGGATTCCGACCCCGAGTTACCCCGGGCCCGAGTTACCCCGGATAACTCGGGCGCCCAGAGCCCCAATTCATCAGGGGTAACTCGGGTCAGGGCTAACTCGGGTTCGTTTTTCGGGGATCCAAACCCGCGTTACCCTGGACCCGAGTTACCCCGGATAACTCGGGCGCCCAAAACTGCATAAGCATAATTTCTCGGAGGTCCGCGCGGACGTCCGAGCAATTATAGCGATGCCGTTCTCTTTGTGCTTCGAAGAGAAAGAGGAGGGCTGCTGATGTTCGTAGACGTTTCTAGCCTGCGTCGGACTTCCAGAGGCTTCCGAGGACAGGAGGGGTACATCCCTGATTAATCGGCCCCCGGGGCTGGTATATTAAGGCGCCTTTTTCCAAAGGGGGGGAGGCCGGAATATTAAGGCGGTTTGGCGTGACCGAAGCGAAGGGGGGGCCGGAGAATTATGGCGCTTTTTGACTGGCCATTTTGGGCAAGAGGTTTGAAACTGACCTTCAGGATGGACCTTAATACATTGAAAATGTGTTTCAAGACCGCACTCGACGGCGATCATGATGACGGTGGTGATCTCAATTGTGAACATGACGGTGACGATAATGATGATTATGCTGCTTGGCTCTTCGTTCCACGCTGGTTGTAACCACCGTTGGGGCCGCCACCGCAATCGCAGCTATTCTATATAGATGTTGACATATATATACATATATATATATATGTATATATACACAAGACTGCATTGGCGCTGCGCGCCATGCACCTTGGTCCTTTGAGTTCTGCACGCAAGCGGAATGCGTGCGTGCGAACATGCGCGCATGCATGTATACACGCGCACGTGTATGCACGTTCCGTATAAATGTCTAGGTGTATACACTATACTTTCATTGTTGTATGTGTATACAGCGTACGTATGTACATACAAATTTTGTGTGTAAGGGTATGAACATGCATATGCAACTCGTACGGGGCATCCTCGGGCATCTTCGCTGCATGCCACGAGACCCTCAACTACTGGGTCACAATATGAAATGTCATGGGAACAGAATCAATGAATGTTGGCATTCGGAAACATCGTGGGGGTGTTTTCGGGGCCCTCGTGGGCCGTTTTGGCGCCTTCATGGGCCGTCCTAGGGCCTTCTTGGGCCGTCTTGGGGAGCTTGGGCCCGCTGGAGCCCCCTTTGGACGCATCTTGGGTTCCGGGGACCTCCCATGGCCCTTTTGGGTCTGTGCTGGGAGCCCTTGGGGGGCCTCTTGGTTCCATTATGGGCTGTCTTGGGGCTCTCGTGGGCGATCGTGGGGCCCGGCTCGGCCGTCTTGAATCTTTTTTGGGGGCCTTTTGGGGCGTTTGGAGGCGATATCGGGGGCTTTGAAACCGTCTGGAAAGCTGATGAAATCCGAAAGGCGAATCTGCTAAAATTGTAAGTTTTACGAAGGGAATGGGACGGTTTTTGTGCTTTGAAGGCCCCTTGGAAAGTTTTTTGGGGTGCCTTGGGGGTCTTTTGGGCCGTCCTGACGCAATTGGAGTCCCTCTTGGAGCGCTCTTGTGCTGCCTGGGGCCTCCCTTGAGCCTTTCTGATGACCCCTCGGATCGCTCTGGGTCTGCTGGCAAGGCGTTTGTGGAGACCTGGAAAGCCGGGTGACCTTTTCCAAGGACGTCCAAGGGAGCCCGAGAACCCCAGATCCCGGGGGTCCAGTTTTTTTTTGGGGGGGGGATGGTTTCCCCCCCCCCCGGGCTTGTAAACATGTAGGAAGAGGAATATCTTGTTATATATATATATATATATATGTATAGAGATGTATGTATGTATGCATGCATGCATGCATGTATGCATGTATGTATGTATGTATATATGTATGTATGTATGTATGTATGTATGTATGTATGTATATATATATATATATATATATATATATGTGTGGGTGTGTGTGTGCGTGTGTGTGTGGCGTATATGTGAACAGATATAGCGCCTGCACCACAGCATCACATGCACGATCATGGTGTTAATCGTCTTGGTCATACTTGTTATCGACGTCGCAAACCGACAGAGTTTTGATCTCCAATGCAGCCACCACTGTGTAACAATAGCCTCATCATGTCCACCAGCTTAACTACAACGCTGAACTTTCCCAGAGGGGGTGCCGGAATATTAAGGCGCCTCCCATGGAGAGGGGGCCGGAGTTTTTCTGTGCCGAAGAAGGGGGGCCCCGTATTTTAGGGGGGGCCGTCCAATCAGGGACGTGGGAGGAGGAGCAACAAGAGACATACAAACATAGAGTAACAAACAACCGCGTACACATAATTTATTGGCGGTCCGTGCGGACCTCCGAGAAATTGTGCAATCGATTTCCTTTTTGTTTTTTCTTCGAGAATAGGAGGAGGACTGCTGCTCGTGGACGCTTCCAGTCCTTGCCGGGCTTCCAGAGGCCTCCGCGAGGACAGCAGGAGCCCTGCACAACGAGGTGCTCTGGCACCCGTGGCGACCTCAACTCGTGACGTCCGTTTCCGCCGCCTCGCCGCGTTTTGCCAGACGGCCCGTGGTGGCCAGCAGTTCCCCGCCACTGTTCCAATGCACATGGGCTTCGGCTGTCGTTGCCAGCCGGCGCTTCGGCAGGTGGGCTACATCCTCGCCCGCCACGGCATTGACACGAACCAGTTTGGCGATGGCCTTGGTTGCGAGCTGATCGGTGCAACGATGCATCTGGTCGAGAGCATCAGTGTTCTTCGTGCAGCGGTAGATGCCGCCTGCAGGTCGAAACTCAGCGATGTCACAGACACAGGATCTGCTTCAGGTCAGCCACTTTTCCGCCCCCCCTTTCCCTCTTTCCCCATCCCCCTCCCTTTTCCCCCTCTCAGCCACGCTCCTTCCTCCTCCCTCCCCTCCCTCCCCCTCCTTCCCCCCTGTCCTCCTTCCCCCTCTTCCTTTCCCTTCCCCCTTCCTTCTCCCCCTCTCAGGCCCCCGTCTTCTCCCTCTCCTCTCACCCCTTCTTCTGTGAATGGAATTGGGAGGCGTATGTCTGGCGTCACCCCTTGAGAACAAAGTCTCAGCAGAATACGGACATAGACCATCATTTGCAAAGGGAGGAGGTGGGAGGTGAATCGTGGAGGGAGGAAGAGGATCGAACTGGGGCTGTCACAACGGTGTCAGTTGCTCTCCGGAGCAATGTCATACCTTCAATGCTTTGCTCCTTGTGTCCGCTGATCTCTTCGCATCTCGTCTGGGCGTATTCTGTCATATTCATTCGATGTTTTCCCACATACAAGGTTTTTTTTGTTTCTGGACACCCCGTGCAGTCCTCACACCTCCCCCTTTCCTTCTCTCCTTCTGTAACACTTGTCATCGCAATACCACCACCATCATCATCCTTATCCTCACCATCACCCTACCATCACCATCATCATCGTCATCACCATCACCATCACCATCATCACAATCACCATCACCATCACCATCACCATCACCATCACCGTTACCATCACCATCACCATGTTCATCATCACCATCATCGTCACCACCAACATCGCCATCACCATCACCATCACCATCACCATCACCATCACCATCACCATCACCATCACCATCACCATCACCACCATCATCACCATCACCATCACCACCACCACCACCATTCCATCACTAGTACCATCGCCATCGCCATCACCATCACCATCACCATCACCATCACCATTATCATCACCATCACAATCACCATCACCATCACAACTATTGTTGTTATCCTCATCACCACCATGATCGCAATATTGATCATAACCTTGCATATTCACATCATCAAGTTGAGGAACCCACGAGCGGAAGCTCGTCTGTGAGTGACTCGCGAGGAATTCTCGAGCGGAAGCACCGTGCTTGTTGGATCCGCACTCCATGTCACCAATCCGAGGCGGTTGTCGTCGTTTGTGAGTCCTGATGCCCGAGTCAGGAGGAAATCTCGAGCGGGAGACTCGTCTCTGAGCGAATCGTGAGGAAGTCTGAGGCGGGAGCCCCCTCCATGTGGGGCCCGCACTTCATGTTACCGCTCCGAGGCGGCCCTCGGCATACTTGTAACTGTCATCGTTCTTCTCGGCTCTGGATGCTTGAGCCAGGAGGGACTCTCGAGCGGGGGAGCCTCGCCTCTGAGCGAATCGCGAGGGCGTCCCCAGGAGGGACCCCCCCCCCACGGGACCCACTCTCCTGCCATCTCTCTCGAGGGCCCAACAGGCAGATCTGCGGTCTGGGCCCGTGCCCTGGGCCCCCCCTCCCTCTCCCTGCGCCTTGTTCCCCCGCCGGCAAGTCTCTTCACAGCACCGGCGGTCGACACGTGGCGGTGAGGGAGGAGCGCTCGCCGAGGTCGCGGAGTCGCCCGCACGCTCGACGACCTGACCGAGGAGATCCGCACCGGGGCCTCTCGGCTGATGCTGGACGCCAGCGCGCACAAGAAGCTGGTGCTCGGGGCTGCGCCTGCTAGGAGGGTTGCAAGGTCGGGGCCACGGGGCGGGCAGTACGGCACCCGAACAAGGGTGGGTGCGCAGTCCACGCCACGAATCGGCCGCATTCCCCCCACCAGGTTCCCCAGGGTGTTCCTTCAGGGAGAGTCTCCTGAGCGCCAGGTGGGTGTGGGGGGTTATGACGGCCAGACCCTGACCCCCCCCCCTGGACTTGGCAGGAGGGCCACCCACCGTCATTTTGCTTTCTTGTGATGCCTATTCTTCGGGTGGTAAGGAGGTTATGGTGGGGGGGAGTTCAGCTTTCGGTGTGCGACTAGGGTCGGATCATATTCGGCGGAAACCAGCTGAGCACCACGGAGGACACCGATGGTGTCCCGATGACGTGCTTGATCACCATCGGGAATCATTGGGGCAACAAGCTGAACAAAGCTGGCTGTTGTTTACCCGCGCCCTCTTTCTTTCAGAGCGTGCTACGAGCATACATTTTTATCAATCGGGGCATCCAAGTGGAATCATTGGGACAACCAGCGGATCTAGTTGGCATCTATGTGCCGCTTTCTCTTTTCTTCAGGACGTACTACGATTGCACAGAGCAGTCTGTTTGCCCATCTATACATTTGCTGGGCCATTAATTCAAACATATCGGGATAACCAGCGGAATCAGATGGCATTTATTGGCCCGCGTGTTTTTCTTTCAGAAGAGCATACTCATAACATCACGAGGCACAACGGGACACCACGGGAGACCATTATCGATCTCACTATCGATCTCGCTATCGATCGATCCCACTATCGGTATCACTACCGATCTCCCTCTAGCTGTCGATCTCCCACTATCGACTCAGTATCTGCTTACCTATCGACCTTCCTATCGATCTCACTTTCTGTCTATGCGTCGATATGTCTTCCGATCTCACGATAGATATCGCATTCGACCCCACCATCGATCTCACGATCGATCTCGCAGTCGAACTCAATACAAAGCACCAAAAGCGTCGGGGCAGTGAGCGGAGCCAGGTGGCATTCATTTGCCAGCGCGCTCTCTACTTTAGAAGAACATGCGAAGAACTTACAAGACCACGGGACATCACGAGACACCACTGGACACCACCATCGATCTCACGATCGATCTCATGATCCATTTGTGTCCTCCGATCTATCGACCCCATTGTCGGATTCATGGTCAGCCCTACTATCTACCTAGCAGTCTCTCGATCAGCCGATCTCACTATCGACATGCCACCGAGAGGCGCAGAGATGGTCGAACACCTTGACTGAAATGCGATGATGGTGATGCCGATTAGGGTGATGGTGATGGTGTTGATGATCTTGTCGATGCTAGTTGTGATGTTGCTGGTGATGATGGTTAGGATTCTTATGATCATGATGACCAGTTTCACTGTACCGCAACCGATACGGTCAATTTGTCGTGCTCTGAACCAAAACTTGCCTACAATCTTGTATTGGCAACGCTGCCAGGCCGCTCACAGAGAGCCGTGGGATACGCTTGCGAGAGCCACGCTCACAGAGTGTGGGCGCTGAGGCCAGGACTGCGCTGGCAGAGCTTGGCGTTACCACTCGCCTGTTCTAGCTACTTATCCACCTATCGATCTCACTATCGATCTCCCTCTATCTATCAATATGACTATCTATCGATTTCACAGTCGACCTCACTCTCGATCTCACTATCGGTCTTATCATCGTCCTCGCGGGGCGCCACGGGACACGACGGGACACCACGGGGCATCGCGCCACGAGACACCACGGGGCACCACGGGACACCACGGGACATCAATGACATCACCGAACACCACGGGACATCAATGACATCACCGAACACCACGGGACAGCGCGCCACGGGATACCACGGGACACGGTCAGGACACCCCCGAGCCACCGCTGGATTGCCGGCCAACAGGGGTGCGTAGGGTCATGGAGTTTAGTTTCGCCTCAGGCCACGGCGGGTTTCCTCCCCTCGCCCGCCCTCGCAGCTTCGCCCCGCCCGCACGCGCGACACGAGCACGAAACCGAAAGCGATGTCTCGGTGGGGGGCCTTCGCTTCACTTCGACCCCCCCCCATCTCCGATTCGGCCTCTCTGCCATGACCACGGCTTCTGTTCTCGCGTGTCGTGCCGCCGGCTCTAGCCCACCGCGCGTCGGCGCGACACGCGCTCACCGCGTCCCAATGTCCAAGCGGCAGGGCTGCGAGCTCTTCCAACACTCCCGCCACGTGGAGCGGAATTGTACGCTGTAACTTCGCACTGCGTATCGTGTCGCCGGTGCCGCCGCAGAGACACAGAAAGCAGAAGTTCCTGAACGTGGGGAGGAGGAGGCAGGAGGGGGATGGCGGAGGAGGGAACATGGACCTGCATGGAAGATGTGCAGGAGGAGGAGGAGGAAGAGGAGGAGGAGGAGGGGCAAGAGGAGGAGGAGGTGAAGCAGGAGGGGCCCAAAAATGGACGCAGCGCCACGCAGCAGGACTTTGGGCCCAGCTTGAGCCTCGAGCTGGAGCCGTAATTTCAGGCAAAGGCGGGAGTATCAGGAAGAGGAGGAGCATGAGCAGGAGAAGTTGGAGGTTGATGATGAAGAGGAGAGAGGGGGCACGATGATTATGATGAGTATGATGATGGTGATGATGCTGATGATGATGATGATGGTGGTATTGATGGTGATGATGGTCATGTTGATGACGATGATGATGGTGTCGATGATGATGATACTGATTCTGATGATGCTCATGCTACTGATGTTGATGGTGGTGATGATGATGGTGATTATGATGACGATGCTGATGCTGATGATGATGCCGTTGATGGTCACGGTTATGGTGATGCTGATAATGATGATAGTGGTGATGTGGACTATGACGATGATGCTGATGATGCTGGTAGTGATTATGATGATGACGACGATGATGCTGATGATGATACTGCTGACGATAACAATGCTGTTGCTGATCCTGACGATGATGCTGATGATGCTGATGATGATGATGATTATGATGATGCTGATGATGATGATGCTGCTGATGTTGATGTTAATGATGATGGTGACGAGGACGACGGTGATGATGATGATGATGAGGATGATGATACTGATGACAATGATGATGATGCTGATGATGATGATGATGATGACGATGACGATTACGATGACGATTACGATGACGCTGATGATGGCAAGGATTATCATGATGACGGCGATGATGAGGAGGATGATGACGATGACGATCGTGACGACTGTGATCATGACGATGGTGATGCTGATGATGATTATGATGATGATGCTGATTGATGATGATGATGCTGATGATGCTGATGATGATGCTGATGATGATAATGATGATGACGGTTGTGGTGCTCCTGTTGATGATACTTATGCTACTGATACAATGATGCTGACGACCATGATGATGGTGAAGCTTTTTACTATGATGATGGTGATGATGACGACGGTGATGATGATGACGATGAGGATGGTAATGATGATGATCTGAATGATGATGACAACGGTGATCATGATGATGATGATGACGATGATGATGCTCATGATGATGACGATGATGATGATGATGATGATGATGATGATGATGATCATGATCATGATGATGATGATGATGATGATGATGATGATGATGATGATGATGATGATACTGACGATCATGATTCTGATGACGATTATGATGATGCTGCTGATGCTGTTGATGATGATGATGATGATGATGATGATGATGATGATGATGATGATACAGAAGGAGACGTTCCTGCTGATGATGATGCAGACGACGATGCTGATGCTGATGATGATGAGGATGCTGATGCTGATGATGATGATGATGATGCTGTTGATGACGATGATGATGATGATGCTGATGCTGCTGATGATGATGATGATGATGATGATGATGTGATGATGATGATGATGATGATGATGATGATGATGATGATGATGATGTGATGATGATGATGATGATGCTGATGATGATGATGACCATGATGATGATGATGATGATGATGATGATGATGATGATGATGATGATGATGATGATGATGATGATGATGCTGATGATGATGATGCTGATGACGACGATGATGATGATGATGATGATGATGATGATGATGATGAGGATGATGAGGATGAGGATGATAATGAGGACGAGGATGAGGATGAGGATGAGGATGATGATGCTGATGCTGATGCTGATGCTGATGCTGATGCTGATGCTGATGCTGAAGCTGCTGTTGTTGCTGCTGCTGCTGATGATGATGAGGAGGAGGAGGAGGAGGAGGAGGAGGAGGAGGAGGGGCCCGAGCGAAATCAGTTGAACAAAAGGCGCGATTCGTGCAGGACCTCCCGCGCCGCAATCAGAAGCGAGAGGGCTGGTCACCGCCGAACGGGTTCCAGAGGGAACCCTGGTGCCCCCCCGTTCCCATCCTAATTAGAGCGAGCGGAGGATTGGTCACTGCTGGACGGGCTCAAGGAGGGGTCCCTCGGTGCCCCCCCCCCCGCCGGAAGGGAACATTTCGATTCCTGCCGATTCGATTCGATTGCCGCGCATCTCCGATTCGGACTGGGCATTCCAGACTCGGCTGCCGATCTTCGCCGATCCGATTCATGTCGATCGCCGATCCAACTTACTCACAGTGGAAACTCATGCCCTGGGTTTCTTGGGTTTCGATGGTTTTGCCATGGGATGCGTGACGTTCCCAAACAAAAAATCGTCGATGAACGTCCCGGGGTCTCAGCACTGGGTTTCTTGTGGGCGGTTTTTTGTGGTCGAGCTCCTGCTGTATCGATCCGATTTTGGGGCACTCCTGCCCCTGCTCCCAGCCGGGATCCGGGCGCGGGACGAGGTGCGGCGCGGGGGGGAGGGGGGGGCGGATCGGAGGTTGATAAACCTCCCACCCTGACACGTCGATTAGCGCATTGGCCGTTCTCGATTCGCGCGAGGGCGTCGCGGCCGTCATGTTTGCGGGTCCAGGTCCGTCGGTTTCGGTCTCATGCCGTTTTCACTAAAGAGTGGTTTGCTAAAGGTTTCGGGGGTGGACACAACCCCCACCCTGACACGTCGATTAGTGAACTGTCCGTTTTCGGTTCTCCAGAGGGCGCCGCGGCCGTCAGGTCTGGGCCCGCCAGGTCTGGGCCCGAGGTCGTTTTCACTAAACCACGTTGTGCTAAAGGGGGTGTCTGTCCATCCCCGAAGTTTTGTCCACCGCCGAGGGGAGGGGGCATCGGGGCGGCTGGTCAGGTGCGCGTGGTGGACCTCGTGCTGCTGCGGGTGGCCGTCGGCACAGGCCTCGGCGAGGGGGGGCGCCCCTCTGCGCGGCGTTTTTTGGGGGGGCGAGGGTTAAGTCGGGCCTGTCCCTCTCTCTACAGGGAGAGTATCCAAAAACAATCCAAAAGTAGTATGGGGACGATGCTTTGATCATCGTTCAGCTTTTTTTGAATATGTTTGGGGTCTTCTTTTCTTCGTCCAAGATCCGCCTGTAGGGGAACACGCCCGACCTGAGGCTAGGGGGTGGGTCGTGCCATCGCTCGGACGTCCATTCCACGTGCATTTGTCGATTTCGTGCGTGTTTTTTTTTCGCAAGGTGATCCAAGATTCTCTTCGATGGTCTTGGCCGGTTGGCCGAGAACAAACATGCACACGTCCGAGCGATGCTAATGGTTGGGAGGAGGGGGGAGGAGGAGGGTTGGGAGGAGGGTGGGAGGACATGCCCAACTTTACGTTGGGCATTTCCCTCTACGGGAGGAATATTCAGGAATAGTAAAAAGCAGTCGGGTGACGATTGTTCTTGTTGTTCTGGCTATTGTTGATCTTTTTGTGTGTGTGTGTGCTCTTTCTGACTATGTTCGATTATGTATTGACCCTTTCCTATTTTTCTTCAAACGTCCGCCTGTAGGAGGACATGCCCGACCTAAGCACAGACCTCCGTCGCCACCGAAGGTCACGACGACAGGCGCGAGGGTCGAGGGTCGGGCGCAGGCTCGAGGCTCGAGGCTCCGTTGGCCTCGGGGGCTGCCCGCTCGACAGGCGACGATGCCGACGAGCTGGTGCTGGTGGAGCTTGGCAAGGAGCTGCTGCCCACTGCGCGGGAAGCCCGGGGGAATGCCAGGGGGGGGAAGACGAGCGGGGCCTTCCAGACACGGCCTCGACTTCGGCACACCTCGCCCTCGGTGGCAGCCGCCAGGAGGCCAGTGGAAGCCAGCGGAAGCCAGCGGAAAAAAAAAGAAAACGAGGGCGTGGTTCCGCTAGAGGCAGGTCGGCAGATGGCGGAGGAGGAGGAGGAGGATGAGGAGGAGGAGGAGGAGGAGAAGGGGGAGGAGGAGGAGGAGGAGGAGGAGGAGGAGGAGGAGGAGGAGGAGGAGGAGGAGGAGGAGGAGGAGAGGAGGAGGAGGAGGAGGAGGAGGAGGAGGAGGAGGAGCAGGAGAGCCTTTGTTGGTGCAGGGTTCCCAGAGTCGGCCCTGTGGGGCCTTCCAGAGGAGGCCTCGCCGTCGCTGGATCGAGGAGTTGGGACCCCTCTTCTTCGGCGTATAGGGCGGCAGAGGACCAGCGGGAGCTGGAGGGGAAGCAGCGCGAGGGTGTTTCCAGTGACGGCAGGCGGAGAAAGGCCGGCGGAAAGCCGGCGGAAGTTGGGTGGATCGGAGGTTCGTAGAGGGAGGGCTCTCCCAAGGTGGGGCTGGGGAGCGGGCCCAGCTGGATGCTCCTTCCAGGGGCCGTTCGGAACGATTTTCCTTCCAACCCCACCTTTGCCCCGACCTCACCTCGGCCCCCCCCCGAGTGGAGAGGGTCGGGGCTCCAGAGGCGGGGGTCTACGCAAGCGGAGGTCAGTCAGAGCGCTGGATCTTGCAGGATCCTGCGGGGCTGGGGATGCATTGGCCCGGGCTTGGGCGCAGGATCCCGCAGGATCTTGCAGGAACCTGCAAGAGGCCTGACTGACCGGGGTCTGGATTGACCCAGGTCGGGAAGTGCCCTGAGAGGGGACATCACCTCCCCGAGCGGGCCGCAGCATGGGCGCGGGCCAGTTCTTGTACCACTCCGGTCTTTTCTCACAGGGCGGGGCCCCCCGTAGAGGTGCCCCCCGCAGGACGTCTCCTCGACCCCGCGGGCCTCCCGGGCGCTCCTGCTGGGCCTCGGGAGAGGGTCCAGATCGGTCAGGGGGGCAGCCAGGCGGCCCTGCGAGAGCCCAGAGCGGCCCCACCACACCCCCAAGACGTTTGAAGACGGCCCACAGGAGGCACCGAACAGGCCCTCCAGCACTCAAACAAAAACATCTACTTTCGCAAATGTCTGTGCGATTCTGGGAGAATTCGGTTCTTCGGTCATCCGGGCTTGCAGCATGCGGAGGGCGAATGAAGTCAGGGACGGTTTTGCAGGGAAAGGCCAGAACGAGATGGGGAATAACAAATATGATACAGGGTGAAGGAAGGGAAGGATGATAATGACGATTGAACAAAAGTGGAAAGACACATATCGTCGTCCTTGTCTTCTTATGCTCCCTCTCTCTTTCTGTTTCTTTTCCTCGTCATGTCCATTCCCCTCGATCTCTCTATATGTTTTCATCCCGCATGCGTGCGAAACTTGGAAGACGCAGGTGCGTGGCGCGAAGTGCAGTGGCAGTCTTGTCCACATATACATTTATAATGTTTACATAATTATGTTTGTATACACGAGATATAAAAGAACTTGAAGAGTCGTTCCGCTTCGCCTCAAATCTAGGCCCACGCGTTGGCGAGATCGGGGGAAAGTAGTCAATCTTGATTGTGCTGGGAATAGCCAGGGACGAGAGCGTGACGCCAAGAGGGGGAATACCAGCCGACGCGAAGCATCTGCCCACGCGGTCCCCAAGAGCGGCCAGCTCTCCAGCTGGAGGTCTCTCGGAACCATCTTGGAGCTCTCTTGGGGCCCTTCTTGGAGCCTTGGAGGCCCCTGTTGGGGCCCTCATGGTAGGGGAACTAGATGACAAACAATGGCGTACACATACAAACTCAGAGGTCGACGTGGATTCCTCGGATCGGCGCTGGAGCCCGTTGGCGGCGCCTCTAGCGCCGCCCCTGGCGCGCTCCGCGCGCCAGGGAGGGGGTTCCGCGCCGATCCGAGAACTCCGAGATCTCGAGAGGACCTCAGAGTTGATATGTATGTGCCATTGTTTTGTTCCCCGGCTGGGGTGCGCTCTGGGCTCTCTCCTCCTCCTCCTCCTCCTCCTCCTCCTCCTCCGCCTCCTCCTCCTCCTCCCCCTCCTCCTCCTCCTCCTCCTCCTCCTCCTCCTCCTCCTCCTCCTCCTCCTCTCCTCCTCCTCCTCCTCCTCCTCCTCCCCCCTCCTCCCCTCCTCCTCCTCCTCCTCCTCCTCCTCCTCCTCCTCCTCCTCCTCCTCCTCCTGCATCGTCGATCGACGACGTCGCCGGCGTGCAGGCCTTGGGCTGCTGGCCAGGCCCTGGGCTGCGGATCGCGGCTTGCCCCCCCGGGCCCGGCCTGCGCTGCGCGGAGGCCCTCGGCCGGCTGCGCCGGCTGCCCAGCCCGCACGTCGACTACTTATCCTCAGGGCCTTCGTAGGAGGGGGAGGAGGAGGAGGAGGAGGAGGAGGAGGAGGAGGAGGAGGAGGAGGAGGAGGAGGAGGAGGAGGAGGAGGAGGAGGAGGAGGACGAGGAGGAGGAGGAGGGGGAGGAGGAGGAGGAGGAGGAGGAGGAGGAGGAGGGATGAGGTAAGAGAGAGGCTGTATGGATAAAATCTGTGAATCGCGGGGGTCCGAAACCGAACTGGAGCCGAAAGCGCCCCACCCCCATCCAGTCTGGAGCTGGCCTTCGGGCCCGCAGCAGCTGATACGCAGGCATCTCGCTGCCGTTTCACCCCCTGGTGCCCTCCAGGCCCTCCTGGATCTAGCATTTTCTTTGGGTGGAGGGCAAAGGGTGACATCTGAAATGCCGTTTCGAGGGATTTTCGAGGCTTGCATATGCAAAAGGTGAGCCACAAGACGGAATGATCTTCGAGGTGCACGAGCCCGTGTGGATTTCACTCTGAGCCCTCCACCCTAAGAAAATGCTCTCTTGGAGCCATCCTGGAGGCCGAGAGGTCCTCGGCGGGAGACTCCTCTCCCCTACGGCATCATCCCCAGGGGCTGGCACGCGCTCGCGGGCCAGAGTGCACCGTACTGAAGGGCTGAAGCCTTGTGCCCTAGCTTCTTGTCGGCCATGCGCAGAGGATGGGGGTGTAGGGGGAGGGGGGAAGGTCTCTTCTAAGCGCCCCTGCTTCTTAGAATGTGAGAGCCTTGTCTACAGGAGTAGGGCCGGGGCCTTCTAAGAAGCTTCCAAGAAGCCTTTCCCCCCTTTCCTTGCCCCTTTTGCGCGCGCCGCGAAACTCAACCAAATGACAAAAGCCTCGTGCCCGAAATTCCAGCACGCCCCTGACTGGCGATTTTGTCAAGAAGCCTCTCTCCCACCTACCCCTTTTGTGCGCGCCGCCATACTCTACCGAATGGCTGAAACCTCGTGCCCGAGATTCCAACACGCCCCTGACGGGCGATTTCGTTCATTCAAGGGA